TGTCCTTAGGGGCTGGGCGCTCCACTCCCTGCAAACTTCTTCCTGCAAACTTTAGTTGGTAGTGGAATTTATAATTCCAGGTGGGAAGTGTGCTGTCCAGACAGTTTATAGTTAATTGGGAATTGGGATAGTTAGTTACGAACTGGGAGCTATTCCCCTTAAGGGAATGCATCATGGTAAATGTAGTTAAGGTATCTTGGGAAATGTAGTCCATATCATGTGGCCACCTCTGTAATCCTGATTGGTCACTGAATTGACCCTTGGTTGGGTTATGGGAGATGCCTGCTCTCTTGCCTGAACCCAGCATCATGCTGGCATCTCACCTCCATGCTCCTTGCTCCTTCGATATGGGATGAAAGATTACCATCCTTTTACACCCTAAAGTCAGCTATGCAGAGAATGGGACGTTGAGATGAATCTCGAACGTAACTGTGAGTTATATTTGAGGATGCCCGATGAACCAATAAAGAGACTTTGCATGGATGCCTTTGCGGAGTTTAAATCTGCCTGCCTTAAATTCAGCTAGTAATTAAAGGGCAGAACATGCAGGGAAAACTCAAAAGAGGATGGGAAGGCCCGTTTTTTAAATGTGGAAACCAGAACCGTGGTTTGCGGGGCCACCAAACCATGGTTTATTTTTTTTTCTTCCTGGTCTCCTAAGCTTCTTTCCCTGGCCCAGATTGGCACTTTGCAAGTCCTACCCTTCTGCTTTCTAAAAAAAAATGGTTTTTTTTTTTTTTCTGTTGTGCTTTTGGACTTTTTTTGGCTCGCTTTCTCTGGGTGTGGTTGGTTTCCTCTGAGTTTGGCCGGCTGCGGCTTCCTGGATCATGGCTTAAAATCGCTCTTGTTGGCTTAGCCGAACTTCTACCCGTGAATTTGATTTTGCAAACAGCTCGGACGGAAGGCCGCGTGGCATGGATGGCTTGCATTTTGCGGGGTCTTTTTTGCTTTTCCAGGTGGCCCCAAAACGAGGATTAAACTTATCTCCTCCAACCCTGTTTCCTTCAGGATTGCCCAAACAGAACCCCGGAGTTACAGCAAGGCGCCCCCAAACCGTCCTCGACCCCCTCAATGGAAACAAAACACGGAGCTTCAGCTCATGCCAACGTCTAAGGTAAAAGGGATGGAGGGCTGAAAAAAAAAGCAGCACTCCTTTTTTTTCTTCTTCTGCTATTTACCGTCCACCCACCCCCCAAAAAAAGCCAATATTTCTTTCCGCAGAACCAGACAGAAATTCATCCAAGGAAAGATTTTTAATTTTAAAAATTTTAAGATACGTCCGTTTGCAAAACCAGAACAATCGTTGCAAAAATAAATAAATAAATAAATAATAATAATAATAATAATAATAATAATAATAATTAATAGAAGAGAAAATTGTTCCTTTCTCTTGCCCCATTCTAGCTTTGGCCCCACAGATTTAACATGGAGGAATTGGGGGGCGGAGGAGGCTCCACAAAGCAAACCAAATGAAACCTGGAAGGAAGAACACACCCCACCCAGAAATATTTTGTCTCCTTTCGACTTTGCAATGTGGCAACTAGTATTTCTTAAAGTTGCAGATCGAAATCGGCTGGTTACAATATCTGTGGGTTTCCATGTATTTTGGGGGGGGCAGGGAGGCATGGGAGGGGGAGAATTCAGGGTTCAGCTGGATAAAACGGGGGGACCCCCCCCCTCTTTGTGTTGACTAAAAAAACTGGAATGTTGCAAGTCTAAAAGTACATTTCTCCCGCTGTTCTCATTTACAGCCTGAGAAACTTAGGGAAGGTTCCTTGTGAATTATTATTATTATTTTTTGCTCCACCTGTTTATGCAGCCAAGGGCTCGGCTGTCTCTTATCCAATTATTTCCCCGCCACAAAGATAAACCCATTTATTTTATTGTAGGGCGGCTTTAGCAGAAGCTCGCAAGTCTGAAAGTTCAAATCTCCCGCCGTCTGTTTTGTAGTCTGAAAAGCTAGAGACGGTTCCTTCTTGACCTGCTTTCTCCAGCCTTTTTAGAGAGAGAATGTGGGCTCAGCAACCTCTTATCCAAATGTTCCCTGGGCACATATTTTTCCCAGCCAACCTCCCAAGGCCCACTCCGCACAGAGAGGAGTGAATTCTACTTTTATTTCTCACTCATCCAGGCCCACGGTTATCCCAAGAAGCAGCTGGACTTCCTTAGTTTTTTTTTGCCCTGAAGACGTTTCGCTTCTCATACCAAGAAGCTTCATCAGTTCTGGGGGAGGATGGAAGGGTTTATTATATTCCTGTTCTCCTGACCCAAACCCTTTTCCATTAAGACAAACACGAACCAAAGAGAACAGAAACCTTTTAATGAGTCTTACAGAATCCCCGGTTAAAAGGCTGCTGCAAACTAATTCACTTTGATAAGCACAAACCTCGCCAAAACTGTGTGAGGCTGCCAAGAATCACAGATAAGAAATATTTCACAACACGAGAGACTTCAAATACCAACCGAAGATACTATAATGTCCGCGAGGCTGAGTTTCGAAACGTCTTTGCTTCCTGCAAAGAACGTTCGCTTCACAGCTGGCTTTTATCTTCTTGAAGGAGGAGCCATTACCTTGCAGCCTTACTCCCGAGTCGCCCGTGCTGTTGTTGCTGCTCTTTCCTGCGAGCGATCCTGCACACACGCGCACTTGGCACAGGCTCCTCGGGAACCTCCTCATCGCTGCTTCCAGCCCCCACAATCTCTGAAGGTCTTCCACAACTATTCAACTCCGCCCCCTGCCTTTTAAACCCCAGAGCGATGGTGGGGCCTCGCTCGCAGCGGTGGCTCTTCCGTCCAGGGGTGGGATTCTACCAGTTTGCACCTATTTGCCAGAACCGGTTGTTAACATTCTAAGAGTTGGGAGAACCGGTTGTTAGAAGAAATTCCTGGGCTAATCCTGTAAGGAAGGCAGGAAGGAAATATTCTGGTGTTGCTTACAGAAACTGCCTCTCCTTTAACCCTTATTAACATTCTTGGCAGGACTAGACTTCCTGTCTCAGGAACTTCTCTGGAGTTTTTTTCCCCCCTCCTTTGCTGGTACTTTGCTTGTGTGGAGCTACAATGGCACTGAAAAAAAAAGTGACTTATGACCCTTTTTCACACTTCCGACCGTTGCAGCATCCCCACAGTCACGAGAAGCCAGGCGAGGAGATGCGTGCCTCGATGTGAGTGATGTTGAGTTGGCCACACCCAGCCAGTCACATGACCACCAAGCCACGCCCACCACCTAAGCCACGCCCCCCCAGAACTGGTTGTTAAAAATGTGAATCCCACCCCTGCTTCTGTCCCAAGGACCGGCCCATAGATTTCCACTGCTCTCTCCTCTCCTCTGCGCATCAGGCACTGTACTCAGCTATTCCTCCTCTTCCTCATCAGCCCGGTGGCCGACAGACAACAACACAAGGTCTTTCCCGCACACCGTTTTGGTGGACGGGGTAGAATTGTCGGTCCTTTCTTCGGCTCGTCCCCGGGAATCTGGGGCCGAGTCACCCAAGAGAGCAAGCAGAGGAAAACAGGGGGTGAATCACAGACACACACACACACACTCCAACCTCCCTCCAAAACTTGGCTCGCCCTCCTCCGTGCGTCTGTCTTGCCTTTACCTTCTCTTGCCAGTTTGGTGCATGGTGCATGGCGCCCCCCCCCCAAAAAACCACGCATGACATAACCTCCAGCATGCGGCCAGTGCCGTGTTTAGCCTCCTCGTTCCATTCTCTCTCTCTCTCTCTCTTTTCTTCCCTTCTTCTCCGGGCGGCCCCCTTTTTCTGTCTCTCGCTGCAGCAGCCCGTCGCGATGGGTGCCTCGCGGCCTGAGCCACCCGCCAAGCCGCTCCCGCCTGACCCGATCCCGAAGGATCTGCAGGTAACCGAGTTGGGAGAAAGGAGAGGGGAGGGAGAGGGCGAAATCTTGGCATGTTCTTCGAGGCTGCGGCATGTGTGTGGCATGAATAAGCATGACCCCCTCCCCACTTCCTGCTCATGTGGGACCCCCGCTATTCCAACTCTGGATTAGCAAGGATTGAAGAATGGGATCCACTCTTTCCGGAGATCCCCTGAAGAGCTTTGAGGAAGATTTAACAAACAGGTGGTCCTCGCTTTACAACGGCTCACCCAGTGACCGTTCTGAAGTTACGACGGCACTGGGGGAAGGGAGGGAAACAGGGATCTAGGACCGGTTTACACCCACCCACCCCCTGCAGTCCCGTGATGGGAATTCTTGGCAAGGGGCTCATATTTATGATGGTTGCAGGGTCCCAGGTGTGTGTGTGTGTGTGTGTGTGCGTGTGTGTGTCACACAATCCCCTGTGGCAACCCTCGGACCGGGTAAGCCAGATTCGCTGGATAACCACACTGCCGATTTAACGAACCGCAGTGGGTTCCCCTGAGCAAGAAGCGTCACAAAAAGCGGGGCGAATCGTGACTTCACAAAACATCTCGCTTAGCGACGGGAAAGGTTGGGGCTCCCCATTATGGTCGTAAGTCGAGGACTGCCCTGTATTGTGTCCCATACGCCTAGCCACAAATCCGTTGCAGGGTTTTTCCCCCCCACCCCTGAAGATCCTGAAGAGAATTGATGTTTCTTCTTAATAAATTACCATTTCTTATCTCCTTTCTAAATAATAATAATAATAATAACTCCATCTTTCAACCTTGCATGTTGTTCTTTGCTACCTGAACTTTTTCTGCCCAGGATTCCTCTGGAGACAGACCGGGCCCTCCTATACGCCCGTTGCCTCCTGACCCCATTCCCAAAATCCAGGTAATTGCTTCGTCCTTTCACCCTGGAGGTGAATTGACCTGGGGGGGGGGAGGAGGAGGGGCTCCATTTGGAAACGGAAAACTGAGGGGAGAACAGACGGAATAGTGTTCATCAATCTTGGCGGCTTTAAGAGGGGTGGACTTCAACTCCCAGAATCCCCCAGCTAGCTTGCTTTAAAATAGATGGACTTCAACTCCCAGAATCCCCCAGCAAGCATGGTTTATGATAGATGGACTCCAACTCCCAGAATCACCCCAGCCAGCATGCTTTAAGAGGGGTGGACTTCAACTCCCAGAATCCCCCAGCCAGCTTGGTTTAAGATGGCTGGACTTCAACTCCCAGAATCCCCCAGCCAGCATGGTTTAAGATGGCTGGACTTCAAC